ATATCAGTGGCGTAACTACAGGGAAGCGACTGGAAGCAACGCTTTCGGGCCCACGAATTTAGGGGGCCCCATTATAAATTTATGTATTCATTGTATTTATTTTTAATAAATTCTCAAAAGTGGGACGAAACGATTTGCCGTATAGTTGTGCTTCGATCCTCAATTTCTATCGGTGCTATATTTAAATCTGCATCTACTCCATATTGCAAAATATTTCATTAACCATTAACATATACCAAATTTCATTGGAGTATCAAAAAGCTGAGTTCAAAAGCTGAGAGAGTAGTTTGAACTGAAAAGGTATATATATACTTTATTGATATATACTTTATAGTATTTGCGACGTTTCCTTTAATGCGTTACGAAAATCTGGATAAATTTTATATACCCTTTTTACACTTTTTCGTGTAAAGGGTGTAAAAAGATGTTAGTAGGGGCCCCTTAGTTAGTAGTTGCTTATAGGCCTAAAAAATGTAGTTACGCCACTGATTCATATATCATTTATTTTATATCATATATCTTTAACAACAATTCAAATAATTATTATGGGAATAACCGTTCATTGTATATCGAGTAATCACCTAGCAAATTAAAGAATCCAATCCAACTTGGACTGCAGATACTGCAGGGAAGAGAGAGAAATCACATGTCATGTGCTAGAGAAACGGCCGGCACTGATGTACAAGTGAAACAAACAGCTAGGAGGGTGTTTCATGAAACATACAGAATTAAGGCTAGGAAAGATAGGCGCTATACAGTTTTTCCTTAAATAAATCGGACTTAAAGAAACACTCTAATCCGACTAAGGGTCACAATAGATCTTTTAGGTCAAAGTGCACTATCCCTTATTCAAATAATAATAATTTTATAGAAACCTTATATGTTCCAGAGCACTTTAAAGATGTTATTTCAGTTAGAGATTCCCTCTTATAATATATTGGTTTTGTTTTCTTTAATTCAATGACAGAGTTTTATTTATTATTCATTAAATCAGACTTTCTTTAAATTGGATATTTACTGTAATATTAGCGAATTACAAAACCTACAAAAATATATATCTAATATTAATATTGGTTATGGGAGGTTTCGGAAGGTAGTGAACTGAAACAACAAAAATTCCTTTCTTTATATTATTTTTTAATGAATTGAATTTTTAGCTGTTTCGAAAATTTCCAAATATCCATCATTAGTAGTCTTGGAAACTATTTCTCATATTTAATTATTTGTAAATAATTTTTTGAGACTGCAAGTACCAGGAATTGTACTCCTGCCCTGTTACGGTAACTCCCACTTAAAGAAATAATTTATACAGAAGAGTTTCTTTTATACTGAAATTTTATTTAGGGTTAATATGACTTAAGTTATGACTTAATCAGATTATAAAAGGAATAAATGTGAATAATAAGAAGAAATAAAAATTTTAATTACAAATTTAAGCGAAACTGATTTTCCTTTTAAAAGAACTCAATTTTTTTTTATGAAGGTGAATTTATTATTTTCCTTAGAATTAAAAATTTTAATTCCAGATTCACTTTCAATGAATTTTTCATGCTTTCCATTCTTAAAGTAATTTTGGGTCATAAATTTTATTTACAAATTGGAAGCATGTAATATTAAATTTTATACTCATTAGAGCAAATTAAAACACGATTTATACAATTAAATAAAATAACACATAATTAAAGCATACAGATACAGAATAATAATTATAATCAAACACGAAAGATATTTCTAATGCAATAACTTACAAGGCAAGAATAGAATAGGCAACAAATGAGAATATTCTTATTCTTAGGTATCTATGTATCTATGTTATGTATCTAGAAAGAAAACAAAGAAAAGTAATTAACTAAAAGTGTAAAGAAAAAAGTTCATGAAAATTTCAATTTCATGTTTTAAAAAGTTTTGTAATGCTTCTTTTTGAATTCTGGACATATAAGTTTTTTCTACCAGAATTCTTTAACCGAAACATAATCTGTATATAGAAGTTGATACTATAAACTTTAAATCTTGTTTGCAAACGGTTTTCCACATTTTTTGTTTTGTTTTAAATTATTTTTAATTATATCCAATATGAGGTCAGTTTGATCAATCAAAATGTTTTGTTTTTGTCATAAATCATTTTTGTTGTAATTTTATACACGAGCTGGTGGTCGTTACACCTCAAAACATTCCAGCGAAAAAGCAGAGGAAACAATCTGAAAGATACAAATGAAAACGTACTTTGATGTTTCGGAAAATTATGATTCATGCGTTACTACACTTGCTGTATACGTGTTTCGCTTTTGTACCGGTAAGAATCTATCTCGGACATTAAGCCAGCTTAGATTTTTGACTGAAGTGAAGCATAACACTAAATCATAAAATATCAACTTCAAATTAGTTCGTTGTCGTTAAGGTGCATACAAAAGATATTTTCTTACATGCAAAGCCATGTTAATATTTATATAAGCCAGTTTACGCCAAATAAAGGCTATTAACCCCGTTTTTATGACCCTTGCAGCACATTCTGTGTTCTTCAGCTTTAGCTTTATCTGGCATGGAACTAGCAATTGTACCAACAAATTAGTGAAAAAATGTGAATTAAAACAAAAATACATCATTGCTTTAATTCGTTGGATTTTGTTATTTTTTTTCTTTTTGTTTATGTATTTTTTTTTATTTAATTTTACGTGTTATTAATTTGTTTTTTGATATACTTAACGTTGTTGTTGTTTTGATTTATGTCAGTTTCGACAGCTGCTCACTTGTCAAATCAAAGTGCTATGACGGTAGCTTTTCTTCTCTTTTTTATGGTTTTCCAAAAGACTCTTGGAGGATTATGCGAGTGTGCATTCAAAAGAGTAGCCAGAGGAGATTTAAAATTATAATGTACTTGGGAAACAAACGACTTAAGTAACAAACTTAAGCTTATGTAATCTGTGTAATGCAGAAGATTCAATATGCTTTGCGATACGTCTTTACGATATGAGAAGTAAATATCCATGTCAACCTGTGTGTACCGATTAGTAGTTGTCTACTGTCTGCTTTTAAAGATATGTGCTTTAAACGGACTTCATGTTATTTATTACTGCAGTTATCTTTAGAACTTGTTAGTTTATAACATTAACTGTTAAAAAACTTTAACAAAGACTTTTATATTTTTCACACATATGGTGTGAAAATGGTCTATTCAATTCAACAAGATTATCGTATGCATTAAAGCAGATATCGCGAAACTCATAATACATATATACTGTCTAAATAGATAAGATCTTAGAGTACGTGAGCGTAGAAAAATTCCATAATAAAATTGTTTTGCAAAGTTTAAGTATGATCTAAGAGTACAAGAGAAGTCCTATGCTGCAATGGGAGATACAGGAATTGATGATGATGCTTAAGAGTACAAGAAATGAAACCGCAAAAACAGAGTTCAGTAAAAAAGTCTATGTGTCTTTATAAAATGGACTGAAATTAATAATAGAAAGAACAAATAGATAAATATAAAAAAAGGAAGAATTTGATGCTTTTAACTGTGAAGGCAGATAGTGTAAATCAGCTTGACAAATAATTGATAAAATTGTAGCTCAAGTTAAGCCGACAAATCATAATAATAACAATATTAATTAACAATATAAATTATTAATAATACTAAGCTAGAATTAACTGGATCATATGTTCAAAGTACAATTCGTTTATAATTTTAAATAAAACCTTCCAAAAATTTATTGCTGTAAAATATTATATATACCAATTGATTTCTTATTTCTGACAGATTTTGAAAATTTAAAGTAAAATAGAGGAAACACAGCATCAACACAGCATGTTTTTTTATAAGATCTATATTGTAAGAATTAATTTTCAAATGCTTTAAAAAGTTTGGCTACAGAAACACCAGATCAGGTTCAGACCTAAGATTTCGAAAAGTTTAGGCTGAAAATCTTTATACTGATTTTGATATAAGATTATGTTACTTTGATTTAACCTAGCAATAAAAAAAATAGATAGTGATAAAATTATTTTACTGAAAAGAATGCAGGTATAATATGTTCACACTCTGATGATTTAGCACTATTTGCAATTAGTATAACTATATTAAGAAAGGTTTCTATGGAGCTCGAGATTTATTGAAATCTAACGCAGTGGTTTAAAAAAATATGAAATTAAGTCTGAATAATTTATCAAATCCAAACGTCTCTTCAATGCTAACAATTTCAAAGAGAAGTAATATAAGAACACTTAGCATTTAATTAAGGCATAATTTTTTAATCTTTGTTTGAAAATTTCTGTTGAATGAATTTTAAGAATTTTAAATTGAGTAATTTTAATGGACACTTTTACAATAAATTCGTTATGTACAATTTCTACTTTCTCTTTCAAAGTTAGCACCTATAGCCTAACAAATTATGTACGGACTATAAACTAATTAAATAAATATTTGAATATTTTCTAATGTTACTGATGATCGTGTACTTGGCAATACACGAAACAGTTTTGTGTGATCAGCCAGATTTTAATAAATTAATTAAAATTTATAATTTTTGTTTCTTCATTACTGTTCGAACCCTTCTAGTTAGCACTTTTCTTTTATAAATTTGTGTACACTTTCACTTGATTTAATTGGCTGATCATGTGTTTATTTCAAAATGCATGTATGAAATAGAAAGCATTTAAATTTTTATGACTAAAAAATCAATAAATAAATTTATATAATGTTTTCTAATCGACAGATCTTTGCTCTTCAAAGAGCTTTGAATTCATCTAATAGGGTTTTAAAAGTTTCAAAATTATAATGAAATTATGGAAATTAGATTTTCATATCGACAATGAAAGAAGTGTGAACAGTTTATAAAACATATTTTTTTTAAGAAACTTGAAAAAAATAAACTTCCGATTTATAAAACTTGGAATTAAGTTATCCAATAAGAGCATCTGTTTGACAGAATTAACACTGTAAGAGTGTATATAAATAATAGAATCTATCTATCTAGCAAACTCTAAAAGTGCATTTGAATATATATTTAATTCGATTGCACTACAGAAATTTCACAAATTTTTAGAAAATTTCGTAAAAGTCGCAGTCTTTTTTGTATTCTCACAACACTAATATAAACCAAATTTGCTTAAAGAAAAATATTTTATAAATTGCATAATGTTTAGTATTACTATAAAAATATAATGTAACAAACACACAATAAAACAGATATAAATATAAAATAAAATACATAAATACAAATTTTAACTATAATTTTAGAAATTGTTGAATTTATCGAAACTAAAATCTAAATTATCTTCGAAAAGTCCTACAGTGGTCATCAATGGTACTTTAGCGACTTCGTGGAATATTTCGCGAGAATATTTTTTTCGTATAGCCTTTATTTTATAATTTTTTACTCGATGTAATCCTGCATTTAGTACGACTACAACCATAGCAAACTCTTCCAATTTATATCCACTGTAATATTCTAGCTTTTCGGTCCATCCTTTCTTTTCACCGAACATACGCAACGCCATATACAAAGTTGCTGCTGCCAATTGTGAATCGCTAAACGATATTGTCACATAATCCATTAATGCTGATTCTAGTATATAACAAGCCAATGTTAAGGTTACACTATTGATTTCAGCACAACGAGCATACCGACGTAGAAAATTATATGACAAAGGAATGCCTATATCGTAATCAATTGTTTTTAACACGTTCATCTCCATTTTTATAAGCTCATTGCGTTTGTAGATACCATTACATACATAGAGAAAATCTTCTACCAAAGGCACCCTTTGTTCATCGTACTTACAAGCAATAAAAAGTGCAATGGCACCTAACAGTATTATCTGATCTTTATTAATTATAACACGACACAAATAGAGATCAACTATCTTAATAGCTAAATAGAGCGTTTCATCGTTTAAATCAAATCCCTCTTGCACTTTAACCATCCAGTCAATTAGTCGAGAGCGGAGCGATTTAGATAGATTTATTTGTTTTACCATATAATCTGTAATAGGGAATTTTTTTTCCCGTTCTTTCAGGTAATCGAAAATATCCTTTGCGTAATGAGATACTGCATAAGGATCATCCCAATTTAATTTATCAAAATCGATTGTTATATTATCACAGACCACTTCGCTTTTATCATTTATTTGTAACTCTGAAGATGTTTTGGTAGCATCACAGCTCTGTGAAAAGTGTACGCACTCCGCTCTTGGCATATATTCAGCTGTAGACATGTGCACTCTCTGTTCAGTTTTATTAAATATATTAGAAATACGGGGAGGAGTTGGTTTACTTAGTAAATCAATCGACATTGGCATGGTAGGCTCAATTATAGCAAATGGTTCAGTAAAGTAATTTTTTTTAACGTTTAAGTGTGCTGGTACCATAATTTTATTTATCTCATTCATTAATAAGTTATTTTTATTCGATTTTGTTGTAACCTTAGAGAGATTTGAAAAGTCACTGTTAACATTCGCGACGTTTTTTAATATTTGTTCATGCTGACCAGTTCGATTGTCGCTCTTTTTTACCGTGATTTGTTCCCGAGTACGCTTTTCTAGATACAATGTCTTGGGCATGGTCATTTTTACTTTATTTTCGATTTTTTCAGTTTTTATTGAGCTTTTCGCAGTCTTTTGTTTATCATGCGTCTGCGCCATATCTTTTAATATTCGTTCACTTTTTTTTAACATGATTTCCTGTTTAGCAATCTTTTCAAGATTTATTATACTGGTTAAGGCCATCATTCCTGAGTTATTTGTGAAGCTCTTTAATGCAGCGCGCTTGTTTTTTATTGAATTTTTTTCGGGATTTTGTTTACCATGAGTTTTTACCGTATCCTCGTTTTGATCTCGAGCTGTCCTTTGGAAAAAATCCTTAGGAAACATTGATACAACATATTCTTTATTAGATTCATCATTCAAGGTACTCATTGTTTTAGATTATTTACTTGTCCTTTTAGCTCGAGATCTATTTAAACTTTCTTTCATTTGTTGAAAAGAATATGTATACAAAAATATTTGATTGAATATTCTATGATACATAATTGAAAAAG